GAAGTGAAATATGGGCGCGACGAAAAGAAAAGCAGTGGCCGCGGCGTGTCGCCTTGCCGCGGCGCGAAAGAAGCAACTCTCACGACGTGCAGGTGCTCCACGGCGTAGCAGGGGAAGGTGGCGCGGCGCGGCAGGATTGGACGGCATGGCGCGGTGGATGATCGCGGCGCGGCATGAGCAGTTATGGGCGTGTGCTCACGGCGCGGCATGTCTCAGCGGCGCGGGAGGAGAGTTTGTCACGGCGTGGGAGGAGTTACAGCAGCAGCGTGGTGCAGACGGTGGTGCGGCGTGAGGAGGACTTGTGCAGTGTTGTGGAGGTGGTTTCTGCTGCGGCGCGGCGAAGGTGGAGCAACGACTTTGATCGTGAGCTTCACGGCGCGTCATGCCTGCGCGGCGGAATTTCTTGCACAGCGCGGTGAGAGTGTTCACGGCGTAGAGGAGAGGAATGCAGCTGGAGTGGGCTGCCGGCGTGGGACTGCTCGTGGCGTTGGAATCCATGTACAGAGAGGAAAGAAGCTTGGTCCCGACACCGAAATATGAAGCTCTATATGCATGCTACGTATGTCGCGCGGAGGCCTGGGAGCTCGGGCCTGACTCGTATCTCTATTTGTTTTTAATTCGTTCGTTGGGAAACTGAATTCGATTCCGTTTCTCGCTAAATCAATCTCCTCCTCCATATCAAAATCGGCAACGGATCGACCTGCACACCACATACGAAGAAATACCGGAAAACGACCGAAAAATAAAGAAAATACTCGAGCTAAAGGAAAACACGAAATAAACTGAAAATCTAACTAAAACCCAGCTAAAGGATCTAATGTGGAGAAAAGAAAGGCAAAAATAATAACGAAAAACGCAACAAAAATTGGACAAACATCAAGCGACAATCCAAGGACGAAATAAATGAAATTAAGCTAGGAATGAAACTTCGAGCAAAGAGGCACGGTAAAGAACTGGGGGTGAAATGATCCGCAACATGCTTCAAGAACTTAACCTCCCTAACTCGAAGTATCCTTCGGGTTCAGAACAAAATAGTGTTTCTTGATTGCACCTTTAGTAAGTCTTGGATCATATTTTTGCTTCAATAAAATGTCGGGCTCGTTGTTGTTTTCGGCTTTTAGTTTAGTACCTATATTTTTTATTTGAACTATATAGTTCTTCTACATCTTTTAGTTAACGATTTTGTTTCATTTCCAATTTTCTCTATCGAATATTTAGTTTTACTAGATCTTTTGGTTAAAGATTTAGTTTCTTCTACAACTTTCCTCTATGGACTCGGATATGTTTTAATCTTATATGTCCTCATTTATATGATAATCATCTTCTTTATACCATCTTTTGTTTTGGTTTGTATTTCCTTATACAATTTACTATAATAGTTAATTAATAATATTAAAATATTATAAATATGATAACTAAGTTAATGAGATATCGTAAGCTAATTTTTATAATTTATTTTATAAAAAAACCATAAACGTACGATTAATAAAGAAATGGTGGGTTGCACCTAATAATTGGTTTAGTTAATAAATAATTAGTGAAATCCACTTAAACATTGGTACCAACCCACGTTTAAAACCACCCACACGTTTAAAACCACTCGCTGCCTCAAGATTATCATAACTGAACACTGAAGCACAATTTGGCATTACAAGTGAACACTGAAACAACGCGTCAATCTCTCAACAACACACTTCCATGGGGGAATTACAATTTGGCATTTCATAACATTAGATTGGATTTGAATTCTCCACAAATCTTAAATCCATTGTATGAGGAGAATGGTAATTTTTTTTAAAAAAGTCGATGGTAAAATGAATACGGTAAGTGCAAATTTAAGTTTTTTTCTTTTTTTCTTTTTAACTTGGCGATAAGATGAACTGAGGCAGATAAAATATTGGATACAGTAAGTCAATTTTTTTTTTTTAATTTGCCACCAACATATGATCTGATTAATATTTAACGACTACATATAGAAAGAAGAATGTAACTCTGAGAAGGAGGCATCAATATTGCAACTTGACTTGAATGAGCTACCAACATATGATGGGTTCATTTTTGCAGCACATGAATCATTATTGCATCTTGACTTGAATAAGCTGCCAATATATGGCGGGTTCATCTCAGTGGCACAAGAACAAGAAAAGGCTCAGCGAGTTCTACTTGAGGATTTTTCAAATGTTTAAAAATATTAGGTCCTATTTTATTTGAGGATATAAAATGGCTAGTAGTTTGTATTACTTTGATGTTTTATCAATCGAAATATTTATTGTAAAGATGAAATAAAATCATTATAGTTTATTTTATTTTCTTTCCTTAATCTTTCTTTCTTATTGTGAGTGGTATTAATGAATTCATATGAAACAAATAAATTTACTGAAAATTGATATTGTATGAGAAACGAAAAATTATGCCATTACTGAATATTAGGAAAAAATAGTCTCGTTTTTAATTTGGTTTCTATTATTGAATAATTAGGAATAAATAGTATTGTTTCTAATTTGGTTTCTATTACTACATAATTAGCAACACATAGTCTCATTTCTAATTTGATTTCTATTAGTGAATAATTAGAAACAAATAATCTCGTTTCTTTATTTGGTTGATATTCCTCAAATACTAGAAAAGGGTTGCTTGTTACAAAAATCGTTAGTGACAGCAACAGAACGAAACCTGTCTCTGAGCATCAGCACCCCCGTTTTCGCTAATCAACTTTTTTTTTCCGTTATTGAAGTCCCACTTTCTAGTAGTGTATTAATTCCTTCCATATGATTTTCTTTTAATCCAACGATCATAACCAAGTTCTCCTTTCAGCTTACCCTTTTCAATCTTGTCGTCTATTTTGGCCTCGATCCAACAATCATACTCTTCCCATCCATTCAACTAGCCTTTTAATCTCGTCTGTCCATTCGACCTCTATCCAACGATCGAGATCAATCGACCTCTTGCCCTTCACTTTTCCTTTGCCTATAAATAAGATCCTTAACCAAATTTACAGCTTTTCCACCTCTGCAAAAATTTCTCTGCAATATCTTTTCTCAAAATCCCAATAAAAGACCTACGTCCTCGTCGTCCTATGTCGTCGTCGACCACCACTACATGATTGTTTTCACCTTCCGACTTCTAGTTTCAACCATCGTCGATGAGTAAGTATCTCTCCTTTAATTCTCTGTTAATTTGCATGCTTAAATTTTTGTT